CCTGACCATCGCTAGTGCAGTGTAGCTAGCGTGGTGTTACCTCCTGCTCTTCCCTGGAGCTCTGAGCTGCAGTTTCTTCTGACAGACGCTGCCTACGCAAAGAACAAAGTGACTGGCAAGTGGTACTACTTTGATGACAGCAGTGTATCGGTGGCTTCAGAAGACCAAATAGTGGTGAGTATCTGGCCTGAGGCTGATTGAGTTTGTATTGAAAGTGTGATTCCCTGCTTCGGGCATTTACGTTTCCAGCCAAGCTGTGTCAATTGTTTCAGATGGCTTTCTTCTTTATTTGGTAGACAAAAGCTGCATACGTGCTGTTTTATCAGCGCCGAAACAGCGAGGAACATTCTGCCCCATCTCCTCCCCAAGAAGAGAGCGACGGCATGGATACCAACTAACCACCGCCTCCTGCTCGGCCACCAGCTTAGCGGCTGCTCTTTCAAAGCCATGCCTGAGGCATCTGACATTTTTCCTTCCTTCTGTAGGAGTCCAGCAGAAATCTAGCACTGAAAGGTTCAGTGCTGTGGGTTGCAGACTAGCACTGGAGAGCCAGGAATAGGTGCTGACACTTGGGTATTTAGAGGCCAAAAATAATATATATTGGAGCTTCAATAAAGTTGTTTTTAAAATGTGGCTGAGCTGTGTGGCTCGAGGCAAGGGTTGGGGCTGAGCTAGGGCTGGGGGCCTTGGGTTGTTGCTGGGGTTGGAAGAGTACAGCCCGAGCTGGAGGCCGGGTCAGAGCTGAGCCTTGCAGGGGCCTGTGGAGGAATCCGGTGGGTATGATTCTGTGAATCAGTGTGGGGGGTTCCTGCTGCCCCTCTGGTGTTGCTGTTGGGCCCTGCCTGTGTCAGGAAGGCTTGCTGCACCCTTTCAGGAAGCTCCATTCAGATCTTTGTATGTCCGGCCTGTCTGTTGCAGTCTCTGCCATCATACCTTGGTCCCTATGCTAAGCAGCTGATGTTTCTCTTTCTCATGTCCTTTTGCTGGTGCACTCGAGGCTCCTCCAGGCAGTTTTGACTTAGCTTGTTTCCTGTGAGCGCTGAATCCCGTAACACAGGAAGCTTTGCGGAGGCGAGCTGTACGTGGCTGCGGCATGGCGTGTGCAGGCCGACCTGCCCTGCCCTGCAGGACACAGCTGCTCTGGCTCCCTGTCTTCTGCAGAGCTTGTCCTCTCCATCCTCCTCCTGCGCCCTTTGCTTCCAGGCTGCGCTGTAAGCACTTTCCTGCCTCCACCATTTCTCCTATGGTTTGTGCAGTGGCAGCGTTTTTATCTTTTTCCTCATTTATGCGACTCCTTGCAGGTTTTCCTCCAGCAGAGCTCAGCACTCTGGCCCCAGAGCTGTCGCCTGTAAGGATGATAGCCTGGTGCAATGAATCGTGTGGGTTTTCAGCCTTTTCTCTTGTGACTTTTGTTTTCTTGAACTGTTCTTTCAGCCTTCCTCCTCCTCCCTTGAGCATTGCTCTGTGCCCACCGTCTTCTGTGAAGCTGTGGGTGTGAAGGTCCTCTCTGAGTTTTCTGCCTTAGCTGTTTTATAGTTCTGCTCCATCCTTTTGGTGCAACTGGCAAATGCTCTTCTCTCTGGCCTCCTTTACTGTCTGTGTTACTTGCAGGACTCAAGTTCAGTTTTCTTTTTGAATAGGACTTCTGTGAGCACTAGATTCAGGTCAGTTCTCAATGGAGAACTGATTTTCCATGTGAAAAATGGGAAAAATCTAGAGCTGTGGTTCTAAATCTTGCCTGTTTTTTAGGGAAAGTTCTAGCTCAAGGTGATGAACCAAACAGGAGGGTTTTTGCTTTTGGAGCTAAGTGCATTGACAGAACAAACAGCAAAGACAGGCTATTGCCCTGCTTTCCGCCCCCCCCCAAAAAAAAAATGCATTGCTTGCAGCCACTCGGTCGTCTGTGCATTGTTGACCGTAGCCTTCTCTTCTGCTGGTCAGTGCAACAGCAGTCATCCTTTTCGCTCCAAATATGCCAGCTCAGCTCCCTTTCTATGGCTCTCGGTGACAAATCCTGCAGGAAATTGTTGTGTGCCTGTCCCTGCAGCTCTGCTGTGCTGCAGCCAAGCAAAAGCCCAGCCAGCTCCGTGCTGTGTTCTGCTCCAAGCAGTGGGAAGGGAGGGCAGCACCAGCAGCTCCTTAGCCAGGGCTCTAGAAAGCGATAGGGAGGAGGAGAAGGGAGGGCTGCCTCTAGCTGGCATGCTGCTGGCTCTTCTGCAGAATTGTGCTTTTAAAGCTCTGAAATATGAATTTCGAGATCAGAATTGCTTAACTGCTTCTGCTTTTGTGGTTTTAGGATTGTTTGGGATTTTTACAACTCTTAATATTGTATTTTTGGTTTTTATTTTCCCTGTTACTGAGGGGAGCATCCAAAAAAAAGCAGTTCTTAAGCTGTAGCACTGCACTGAATTACTCTCATCAGCATTTTTAATTTGTTTTACCCTGAAAGAAAAATCATGAGGGCTTTCCAAAATGGGGAAGAGAGGAAAGGGAGAGGAGTGAGATACCTTTTTAAAAGAAAATTCAATCTGAAATAGACTTTGTTCACCTCCTTGCCTCCCTACCTGTGCTGACACTGAGAAGCATGTCAGTGGAGCTAAATCTCTGATGCTCAGATGCTGAACAGACTCTGTTGTACTGCAGAAAGTGGCCCAGCTCTTACTTTCTCTGGCTGAGCTGCTGGGCTTTGGCTGGTGTGTGTGTGCTGTAATACCAGACCTGTTTTTTTAGACTAGCACTTTGTAAGTGGCTGGCTCTGTTGTACAAAGAGGAAAATTAAAGAGTGGTTTGCACTGAAACTGGGTTTTGTTGTATTTTCAGCTTTTCTTATGTGACCTGGGGATGTCTGGTGCTCCGGGAGCTCCTTTGGTTGGGGGAGGGCGATTTCTGCAAAGCCAACCCCTCCCTGCTCTGCCAGTGGGGATCTGGGAAAGAAGGAGCTGTTGCCTGCACTGCCCTACATCAGAGGATTCACGCTCACTCCAGCATTGCCTTTTCTCACCTGCTGTGCTGTGTTGCTGATACCTAGTGCTGTAGAAAAGCCTTTTTGGTGGCACTGGGCAGCCTTAGCTGCAGCTTCCTCATCATTCCTCTTCCTCTGTGGATCTCAAGGGGGTCCTGGCCTTCCTTCTGCCTGTGTTTTTCCAGGGGTGTCAGGGCAACTTTTGGCTGTACCACTGAAATGGTTGTCCTGCAGTCACTGCAGTTTCCTCAAGGCAACCTGAATATGAGAGCTGGCTGGAAAAGTCTGAGGAAATTAAAATGCCACAAGCTTCTGTGTATTTAGTGTTGGTCTGTGTGCAGGGAATTAGGAGGTTGTCAAAATCTTGCAGGCCAAGGTGGGCTGTGAAGCCCCAGTAAGGAGGTTTGAAGTCTTTGTGTTGTGATTACAGTGTAATGGTGGAGGAGCTTGATCTTAGCTGGAGCCTCAGAGAGGGGTAGAAGAGCAGGTGATGAGTTTTGCTATGAAATGCTGACCTCCAAAGCATGGCATTGAAGCTCATCATGGGAAAAAGGGAAAGTCAAGTAGCAGCTTTCAGATGTGGAGGTGCTAGTATATTGGTTTTTGTGTCAGCCTGCAGGCTCACAGGAGCAGCTTACACAAGAGCACCATGGGCATGAAGTGAAATGAAATTCCCCCTTGCAAAAGGGAGGGGGAAATAACCTTAAATACAAGTTCTGTTGTCAATGAGGCACTTGTTAGAATTCAGGAAAGAGGTCTTTGAGGCAGAAGTGAACATCTCTGAGCTAAGGCTCATGTTCAGAGGGGAGATGATGTTGGTAAGAATAAGCTCTTGCTGATGTGTTTTGGGGTGTGCAATTTTACCCCAAAAAAAGGGCTCAGAAACAAGAGGAGAAAAAAAAGAGCCATAGAGTATAGAAGAGCTTCTGTTCCAGCATTTCCCCAGGTTAGGACTGTTCTCACTGAGGAAGAGGGATCAGGAGCTCCTGCAGGACAAGCCGGGAACGGTTGCTCCTGGTTCTCTGCAGTGCAAGAAGGTTGGGCAGGAGCCTTAAACCCAGGTATTTATTTTCCCTGCCTGCCTCAATAAATAATTGAACAGGGACTATGGGGACAGCCAGGCACTCTTGCTGGATGGTATGTACTGCTGCCAAGTGGCAGGCAGGGGGGGCTCTGGGGGCAGTCTGAGGTGCTTGTACCTAGACTTGGGAAGGACTGAATCAACAGGGGAATAGTCTGTTTGCTAACTCTGCACAGAAGTGCCATCTGGCTCTCCACTGCCTAAAGATATCTGAGGAGCTGCTCTACCCAGGTACAGGAGCAGCAAACTGGGGGCCAGAGCCTGCCCCTGTGACCACCGGTATGTCCACCAGTAGGCTGACCCAGGCAGAAGAAAGCAGCAGATGGTATTTTGCAGGACTTCCTGTGAGCTCAGACAGGAGTGGGAGGTGAGTTATCCCATGCTTTGCCATGGGTGAGTAGCAAATATCTCCATCTGGCTTTTCTGAGAAAGCTTGAAACCCCAATAAAAATAACACAAATCAGGAAAAAGGAACAAGGAAAAAAAAGTAACAGGAAAAAAAAAAGAGTATAAAGAGGAAGGACAACTACTGCCTTCAGAAACTGAATCCCCACATAGCTTCTCAAGGTGCATTTGGTACTTTGTCACCGAGTCAGTTTTGAATTGCTAAGGGAGATCCCGAGTGTTCCAAAGTGATGGATAACTTTGTTCCAAAGTGATGGATAACAAGCCATGTGCTTGTCTGAAAGAATAAAACCAGAAACGTAGGCACTACTTGCACTTCTTCAGACTTTTGAAGTGTTTTAGGTTCATTAACTCCAACCAGCTTGCTCTGTGTGTACCAGAGCAAGAAATGTTAGTGTTTTTCTCCACCATACATTTCCCAGAAAGAGAGAGAACTCCAGCTACAGACCCACACTGAGAGCCTTTGGCTCAAATACAACATATTCAGTCCTGGGGCTCAAATCAAAGTTAGTTAACTGCAGTTCTGAACAGGGTGTTGTGTTTTGTTTTTTTTTTTTTTTTTTTATTCTCAGCCTTGCTAAAATACATTATAGAGTGTTAAGTAACAGATTTATTTTTGAATTACTTTTAGAAGAGGAAATAAAAGCATATTCTCAAATTCAGAAGATGGAGGTCTGAAGTTCTTCCTTAAACATGCCTTCAAAATGGAGGTCCTTTGACATGAGCTCCTCTTCTACATCTTCTAAGGCCCACTGATGATCAGTCAGTTCCAGAGCTTCCCATTCTGTCTGCATTGATAATAAGCAGAGGCAGAGAAAGGAAAGCAGCACAGTATCAGTTATACAAGATCTACACAAAGCAGTGCTTACCTTAAAAACTCCAACAAAAGCCAAACTCTATTAAATCAGGCAATCCTGTCACCTCCCTGAAATCAGTGTTCTCTGCTTAATTAGGTATGACTGTTGGTCAGTACATCATAAAAATTAAAAAAATTAACATTATCTACCTTTTGAAAACCCTCTAACCTTCTGGAGTAGTTAATCTCTTCTAAAATAGCTGTCTCTAGGAACACAGTTCTGTTCTGGGGGGTCAAGTGCTTTGTGGTTGGTTAATTCTTTAACTCAGAAACATTTGACAAGAACAGTTACAGGCCAGAAATTCTGCAGCTGATGACAGACTTCATATGCCTCATTAGACCCTTTGCCAACCACCGAGCTCCCTGGAGCTGCAGAGTTTATTAAGCCAGGTCCTCATGGCAGCCCACAACCCAAGAATGGAATTTCATCCCAAGTTGTGCATGATCTCCTCCACTACTTGTCTTCTACCACCTATGAGGACAAATCTCTCCTCCTCTTGGTCTGTAAGTGTTGCTTCATTAAATATTATGGAGTAAGCTGTGTAGAGCCTGCAAAATCACGTCATGCAGTACTTCAGGGTGCTAGGGCTCTGCCAAACCCAGGGCAACTTCCATACCTTTCATCCGTTGTCAGCTCTAATTTTAGGAACGGGAATCCAGAGCAATTCCCTTACTTGATCCAGGGAGAGGCTGAGTTACATATAGCCTACAATCCCATAAATTCACAGCAAAAAGGAGTGCAGATGGGAATACTGTACCTTAAATGCTTTGTTAGTGTCTGCTGGCATGGCCATTGCTGCCCCTGTCATCTGTTCCTGCATCACTCTAGACTGATCTGCAGCTGCAACAGAAATGAGAGGCTGATTCTGATTTCTGTTGTTCAAGCAGCATTTCTTGGAGCACAGAGCCACCAGGCTGGTTTCTAGCTATAGACTAGAAAGTTACAGAAACACCTAGAATGCAAGAAGTTCTCACAAGACATCTTGTTCCCACTTGGAACTTCTTGGCTAAATGTACATAAAATATGCAAACTGAGGAAAATAGGGTCTTCTACATTCTCAATACCCCCAGAAGCATTATGTGTAGGATGCAGGATTAAGAAATCTTTTCAGCTTTCCTTAAAATCGATACTTTCTAGAAATAAAGGCAGACCTGAGAGCACAATTTCTGCACATCAGTGTGATAGGAAGGAAAGTGTGGGTCAATTACCATTGAAGTTCATGAGCCATTACCCCAGGGCTGACGCAGAAGATTTGGGTACTTGCTGCAGGTGATGTCAAACCTGGTCAGTGGAGAGTAACCTCACAGAAGCGAGAGGCTTTTGAGAGCTTTTTGTCTGGAAATTTAGAAATGTTTCCCCAGCCTCCTTCAGAAATCATCCCATGGGAGGAGAAGGCAGCTCTTTCACAGAAATGACAGTCTTACCATTATCTTGGCCCAGGATGAGAGTATAAATGCTTCTGAGTCCAAACACATTCAAGAAGTACCAGGAAGCAGAGCTCACCCTGATAAATCAGAACAAGCACAGTTGATTTCAGTTCAAAGCTGGCTTGTGATCTCATTTCAGAAGCATGCACAGACCATTCAAGGGTTATTAACACATTCAAAATTTCCCAAGGGACTATTTGACCTTGCTTGCTGAGGACGCAGGCTTACCAGGACGCATCTAAAGTGAGCAGTTCAATTCCCTGCTGCAACATTGGTTTAAAACGTAGCGTCAGAGGAAACGGGACCTTTGCTGGAGGATAGAAAAGAAAAGCCCAGTTTCACAAAGTCACACTACATAATTGCAGAGCAAATCAGATAACCAAACTATCACAGGTTTCAGTGACTGGGAAGGGGAATGTCTTTTGCTAAGGAAACAGTTACCACATAAAGGGGAAAAAAAAAAACAAACAACAAACCACAGCTGTGACTTTCAGGAAGTATTTTTAATGTGTACACGCTGCCTTACACAGAAACCAACTCCCTGAACAGGTTCAGAGGAAAATCCAATGAAAATCAACTTAAAGGCTAATCAGTTTTAATAAATTTATATATTTTTTCACCACTACAGTTGTTCTGAATATGTGAGCTATCTTCTTTGTGACCATGGCCCCTACTCTGAAAACAATTTTCCCTCCCTTGTTACAGGGCAAGCAAATCAGTGTAGTTCACAGTTGCAGCAGTGCCAGCAGCAAAACCCACCCTGCTTCCCCTCGGCTGCTCTGGAGCACAGAAGTGAAGCTCTGATTCAGCCCAGACCCTCAGGTCATCATCAGAAACACAGTTAGACCCACAGGCTGTGGTATTCTGGGCACTTACTTGTGACAAATCCCGAAAATGTCATGTTGATCCAACCGCCGATTAGGATCATAGGCAGAACATTGGTGACATTCCCTTTCATCATATCTGTTAGCATGGTAGGATCTGCAGGTCAAAGATTTGATGTAAAGTAGCAGCATATCACAATAAAGGGAAACAAGACGTTACTGCATCACATCAAACATTTTAATTGAGAAAATGAAAGACAAAAGTCCCATCCCATATCTATTATTTTCCACTGTTGCAAAATACGTTGGAAAAAGAAATGAGCAGCCCATGTGGCAGTGGCTGCTGCTAGAAGGGTGTTGTGCTCTCTGACCCCAGCTGCTTGGTTTGTTTGAGCCCAACCCTTGCTCCAGATAGCTGAATTTTGCTTGACCACTCTGTGAGCTGATTTACCTAGAAAAGGGACAACAGACTATCCGGCTAGATAAGTTAAATCAGTTTAGAGAAGGTCCTTCAGGAGTGAGAACAGGACTTCCCGTTTTTGGCAACACCAAGACAGTTGTGATCTTGTGAGATACTGTAGGCAGCAAAATGAAGTGGCACAACATTGCTACCAGAGTGATCTCGCTCTGCGCTGCTCCCCGACACCCAGCTGCACGCTCCCTCACATTGGCTGAGCTTTCTGTGCATTGATTCACCTTCCCACCTTGGCAGAAAGATACGTTTTTTCTGCCCAGCTCTATCTATGGTACCTTAACCTACCTGTCATTGGTGAAGGAGGCACTACCTTTCTTTTTGTTTTCTTAAAAAAGCCATCTTCTGGGTTATTAAAAAAGTATTTCCGGGTCAGGAAGGACTGAAAACAAAAATAGGCAATGCCAACACCATGAGAAATGAAAAGAAGCATTATTTCTTGCTCAGACATGCAGACATCTTACAAGGTCTTTCGTAACACATCCTTCTTTCTTGGAGAGGTACATCACTGCCCGTACACTCTAAAGCTCCTCACATCTCTCTTTCGCTGGACCCAGAGCACCAGCTCTCTGGCTTTCTAAAATTCTTAAAATAACTCTAAAAATTCTCTGAAGAGGAATCCACGTTCATTAAAGAGCTTTTAGCACTTTGGGCAAAGTTCTTGCTGGCTCAGTGGATGGTACCAATAAATCTGTCACTTTTATTCCCCCCAGCTGACTCCAGGATTTTACAATGTATGTATCTGGCAGCAACTGAGCCAATATGAGCATCCGATTTTTAGTTCAGCAAGCGTTACAGCTGACATTGTACCACTCCCTTGTTATCCTAAGATCTTTTTAAATCCCCGTGTGTTTACTGGCAGATGCTGAACACGACGGTTAAGAGGCAGACTTCATTTGAGTTTTTTAAAACATCAAGTAGCTGAAGCTAACGTTAACGTCGGGGGAAAAAGGATGTGCAGTTTTCCTGTGTCCTGGTTTCCTGAATTTCGGCTACAGACCGCACTTCTAGGCGCTACTCTGGCCCGGGGGAGATCCAGCCAGGCTCCCTACCATCCCCTCTGTAACGCGGCGAGCTCCGCACCTGTTTTGGAATGTATTTTCCGTTTTCCCGAAGGACTCGGCTCCGGATCAGGACTTGGCTGGAAAAGAGACGCGTGGCGTTAGCGGCGGGATCCGCGGGCCTGCCCGGGCCCCGCGGGCCGGCGGA